ACGGGTGTTCACCGGCTGTGCCCGTGTTTCAGCATCCTGTGCCGGTGCTGCCGGCTCGGGCACCGCTGCTCTCGTGTCCGTCACCCGTGTGTCACACCGGCTCCGTGCGGGCTCTTACCGGGGCTCCCCGGTTACCGTGTGGGAGTTAATGAATAAGGTGCTGCTGAACCGAGGCTCCTGCATTAGCTCCCAAATAATTAGTTAACTAATTTCCCGAGGGAGGCGAGGAGCGATTTCTGATCCTGGTAACTGACAAGTGTTTGTGCTGTGAGCGTGGTTCGGTGCTGCAGTGCCTCTGAGTATGGGGGGAAGAACATCTGTTTGATTAAAGTTTAAAAAAAAATCAGTAATTAAGCTTTTATGATTAAATAATAAAGTTTAAATCAATTAAAACCCCAGCACGTAGAAGAGGTTCCAAGTCCCTCTGGGTGGGAGGTGCTGACGTATTTTAATTGAGCTTTAATTATCTGCTGTGGTTGTGTTTGTCTGGCTGATCAGATGTCCCAGATTTGGTTATTTTTTGATAAAGAAGTACATAAGCTTTGTATTTGGGCTTCTGATGCCACACATGGGGACACCTCGACCCCTCTCAGCACCAGAGTGTCACTGGGATCCCCCTGCTTGGTGCCAGGGTGTTGAGGCAGGGTGTTACAGCTGCTCTTCCCTGCTTGGCTGGGGGATGCCAGGGAGGCAGCAGGACTCTGGGCATGGTCAGTCAGTCACACAAGCCAGCAGCTGAGCCAGGAGGGCCTGTTTGCTGGGCTGTCATGGAGCTTTTGGAGTGCTCACCCTCCTCTCTCCCTTCCCCAGCTCCAGAGCATTGCTGAGAAGGACAACAACTTGGTGCCCATAGGAAAGCCAGCGTCCGAGGTGGGTGTGTGCACAGGGAAGGGGGGTGTCACCGGGCTTGAGGGGCAGACAGGATTGCTGGAGCTGTTGTGTCCACAGCACTATGATGAGGAGGAGGAGGAGGATGATGAAGATGATGAAGACAGCGAAGAGGACTCAGAAGATGATGAGGACATGCAGGATATGGATGAGATGAATGATTATAATGAGTCTCCTGATGATGGGGAGATCAATGAGGTAAATAGTGTGAGACCCCAAAGCAGGGGATGTGAAGTGTGTGGGACCCTGAGCATGAGCTCCAAGGGCCTTGTCTCCTTCACATCCTCTATTTTTTCTAATTAAGTTCTTGCTCTGGGGGAGATCTCAAACCTCTTTCTTTCCCAGGTGGACATGGAGGGGACAGAGCAGGATCAGGACCAGTGGATGATCTGATTCTGCCACAACCACACCAGATCAGAGGCTGGGGGAGAGCCTTTGCCCCACAGGTCTGGGGAACAGTTCAGTGAAGCTTCTCCTGCCACGGCTGCTGTGTGGGGCAGGAGATTCGGAGCAAAGCCCTCCAGGGGAGCCAGAGGGGACACTGCCACCTGGCATATTGGAACTGACACATCTTTTCTAATAAACTCAGTTTTCAAGAAAACAACCCCAAATCTGGTGTCTGAGGCCACCAGGGCAGGCAGAGGGTAGGGCTGCTCCCCACCATGCACTGGTGTTCCTGGCACAGCTCCCTGTGCTGTGCAGACAGGAGCTCTGTGGGGAATGAGCCCCTCCCTCATTACCCACCGCCCCCAGCACAGACCACAGCAGCCAGCACGTTTCCTGCAGAGCTCTTGTTGAAGCCCAGGCTAGGTTGGGGACCTGGCACTGCCACGGTGACCGTGGCACCACGGGGCAGGAGGTGCCCGCTCAGTGGGTGCCGGTGTAGCGGAGCTCGGCGATCCCGTCGGGAATGGCGCGGAAGTACTCCAGGCTGGCACGGTGCACCTTGCAGTGGTATTTGCCGCAGGTCTTGGCGTACTGCAGGAAATGGGGTGCCCCAGGGAAGAGGACGTTATCCGCCAGGATGGTGGCCCCCTCAGCCAACAGCTGGTGGCTCTCCAGCAGCCGCAGATCCCGCAGGTAGCTGCGCTTCCAGTGATCCATGAAGACGAAATTGGCGTTCACCAGGCCGTGCTTCTCGCGCAGGTGGGGTATCACCTCCTCCGAGGGGCCCACGATCAGCTCCACCTGTGCTGCACCCCCTCGGTCACTGGGGTGGGGGGCACGGTGCCCACCCACCCCCCTGCTTCACAGGGTGGTGAGAGATCCACGTGGAGCAGGATCAGGGTGCCCACCCACACCCCTGCTTCACATGGAGCAGGATCTTTCTCTTCCCACATTCACTACCCAGCAGGTGCCTCAGTCCCTGCAGCAAAGGATCCCACCCCATCTCCTCCCCGGTTTCCCATGCAAAGCTAGGCTTTGTCCCAGTGCCAGTGCTCACCGTCTCCTCGCTGAAGCCGGCCAGCCGGATCACCTTCTCGGCCACGGCAGCGTGTCGGGGGTCGCCCTCGATGGTGTAGAGGCGGGCGCCTGGGGGCAGCCCCTGTGCCAGCAGCACGGTGCCATAGCCACAGTATGTGCCCAGCTCCAGCACCCGCAGCGGGGCCCGCTCCAGCAGCACCCGCTCCACGATCCGCCCTGGCATGGCATGTGCCTCTCACCACCAATCCGTGCCACCCAGCCCTGGGCAGGGCAAGGGTGCCAAGCAGTTCCCAGGGCCCAGAGGCATGGAGGAGAGCCATGCCAAAAATGCCACAGCCAGGTCAGTGATGCCACAGCCATACCAACAGTGCCATGGCTCACTGATGCCACAGTCATGCCAACAATACTATGGCTATATCAACAATGCCACTGCATGCTAATAGTGCTGTGATCACACCAACACTATCACAGCTATGCCAGTGGTGCTGTGGCCATGCTGGCAATGCCATGGCCATGTCAGTGGCCATGCGCCATGCCCTGTGTGGTGAGGACAAGCAGGGGTGGCACTCACCTTTGTCGGGCCCCACACAGCTGAGGTGCTCACAGTGGTAGCACCACTGATCAAAGGTCTGGAGGATGTGGTGGGGGTCCCCAGGGATGGCGTGAGCCAGCACGTACTGGAAGGCGCGCTGCTCCCGCGAGGTGCCGGTGAGCCGGTCCCGCAGCCAGACCACCAGCACTGCCCGGTACAGCAGCACCAGGTAGTGCCGGTACCGGATCAGCAGGGTCACAATGAAAGGGAGGAAAGCCAGGGCAATTGCTGGAGACACCATCACAAACCAGCGAGGCTGTGTTTTTTGTTAGTTGACTTTGTTCGTTTCGTACTTTTCTTGGGAGTTCTGCCAAATGGGAAGTTTTGCACCCTTTGTGTCCACTATCAGTAGCATAACCTTGGGCCCAGGCTTTGAAAATCTCCCCTGTGCAGAGATCACTAAAGCATTGTGAGTCCTTAAGCCATAACAAGGCAAATCTATCCTGTCATGGGATGCTGTGATAGGGTATCCTTCCAGGGAACCTCACAGCTCCCACTCATGCCAGGAATCGGCTGTGCTGTGCTGTGCACCCCCTGGAAGTGCCCCTTTCCCTGGGCTCCAGTGCTGCTGGGCCTGTAGGGCTGGGGCACCCCAGGATGCTGTGGAGATCCTTGTGCCAGGGCTGGGGAGTGCTGGGGACCCACCTGCCAGGGTCCAGATATTGGGGTTTGCTGGGCTGGCATCCCAGGGGATTGTGCTGCTGTGAGGAGCCCTGTTCAGCACAACCTTTTGCACCCCCTTGATCCAGCTTTGCTGCTCCCATCCCCCATATTCTGTACCTCGCCCCCTGCTCCCCACACCCTGCTCCCCACACCCTGAGCTGTTCGGGGCGCCCAGCCACAGCAACAGGGTAGGGCAATGGGGGTGGCACCTACCTGTCCCCTCACTCCAGGCAGGCAGAGGCAGGCAGTCCTGTGTGGAGCCCTGCTGCCACTCAATTATTGATGGTGTCACCACAGCTGCAGCTGCTATCAGAGCTCCGGTTACCAGCTCAGTGGGGCTGGCAACTGAGACGGGGCCAGGCTGGGGCGGGGAGGTGGTCCTGGGCTGCACAAGGGGGGCTGGGGCTGGGGTACTGATACTGGAGCTGGGGTGCTGATACTGGGGCCTGGGGTACCAGTATCATGGCTGGAGTCCCAATACTGGTGTACTAGGAGCTGTGGTCCTGATACTGGAGCTGGAGTCCTGTCACTGTGCACTGGGAATACTGGGTACTGGAAACACTGGGGAACGGGAGCACGGGGTGTCAGAAGCACTGGGAGGACTGGGAGCCCTAATCAGTGGACACTGGGGACACTGTGGGCCCCGGGAGCATGGGGGCATTGGCAGCACTGGGGGTCTGGAGGGTTGGGGCACTGGGATCTGTTGTGGTTTAGGAATGGTACTCCCCTGTTCAGTGCCTCCACTGAGACCCTCCAAACCATGCCCATTCTCTCGCTCCCCTGCTTTCCTTTCCCCCTTCCCACAGGGGCGGGATGGAGAGGAGGCACAAAAGGTAAAGATCTCAGGTTGAGATAAGAATAATTTACTGGCTATAATAAAGTGAACAGTAACAGCAACAATATTAATGACAAGGGATAAAAGAAAATATTCACATGGGAGACCCCCTTCCAACCAACAGACAATACCAGAAGCTCCCTCTGCCAATTTACTCGACAGTGAGCTGGTGTATGACAATGGCTCTGTACAAACTTGTGCCACGAGGACTGTGTACACCAGACATATGGGCCTAAAGGGGACTTTGTTATTTGAATCCCTGTAGTAGGCTCAACCTCCAGCACCCCTAATTCTCTCCAAGACACTGGGTACCTTGCTCCATGGTGTTCCACACATCTCAATGCACTACTTGATCATCCCTGGGACTGTGCCTTTCCCTCACACTTGGCAGGAGTTGCCTTCAGAGCCTGAGAGTTTTTGTGCTCTTCCCAATGCCCTTGTCAGTGTTCACATCCCAGGACAAGGATCCCAGCTGCTTGGCTTCACTACCATCCCCTTCCATATGGGCCAGGATACCCCAGCACTGGAGTAGCCAGGTCACCAGGGGCTCACCCAACTGGTGGCTGGGCCTTCTCACACATCTTACAGCTCACCTGGGGACATGGGCCAGGTGATTTTCTCTGGCCCTGCCTCCTGCCCCTGTTCTGAGGGCCCTGCTCTGCCCTCCCTCACTAACAGCTGGTTTTCCCTTGGGTTCCTTGTTCCCTGCAGGGGTGGCTGCTCCCAGCATGGGCTGTTCCCTGGCTCAGCTGCAGCTGCTGTGGCCGTGGTGCTGTTGCTGTTTCCTCCTCCTCCTCCTCCCCTGAGGGTGCTCTCCACTGACCACTGGTGTGCAGTGAAGAGTAGCCAGGGCCCAGCACACTGCAGTAAGCTGCTCATCTCTGCAGCTCACACAGCATCTCCTTGCAAACATTCTGGCACTTTATAGCAGAGGCTGCAGTTGTTCAGGGGTGAACTCCCAAACCACCGGAGCAGAGAATGTCTCAAAAAATTGGCCAATTTTCTGGCATGTTCCATGCCACTCATGACTATTCCCCCTCAGGACAGGTCCCTGAATGGCCTTCTTGGAAATCTCTGTTCTGCCCCCAAAGGTGACTCTGAACACAGTGAGGACTGCACTGAGACCAACAGGAACAGGTTTTCTTACCATCCAAGGGGAATTAAAAATGCTCAAAAGCTGTTGTAGCAGGCCCAAAAGAGGAAAGGGGGGGGGAATGGAGAAAATCATCCTTCCCTGTTCCCCCCTGAGACGAGGTATGGTTATTAATGGGCTTCAAAGGGCAGGAGAGCAGCACTGGATACACATCCCAGAGTGCCCTCATTGCCCTTGGTGTTGCTGTGTCATAAACTCACCTCCCACAGTACAGCAACAAAGAAATGCTGATCCCTGTCCCTGCTCTGTAAAAGGTCACCCCGAGGAGCACACACAGGAACAGAGCCAGGGTCAGGTACCAACCCACATGGACAGACCAAGCACCACTGTCACCAGTGGCCCTGGACTATTACAGCAAATGCTGAGATCAAATTTGTTTCCAACCTACTCTGTTGTTACCTCAACCCTTGGTGCCCCATGCTGGGTGACAAACAAGGACAGTCGTGGTTCAGTAACCAAGCCCAACCCATCTGCTTGCCCACTCCCCCATCAGAAAGATCAGGGAGAGAATTGGAACGGTAAAAACTGGAAATCTTGTGGGTTGAGGTTAATACAGATTAATAGGGAAAGCAAAGACCACTCACACACAAGCAAAGCAAAACAAGAAATTAAGTCACCTATGAAAAATGCCAATCACTTGTTTTTAAAATTTTAAAAGTTTAATAGTAATAAAATGGTTATAAACATAGTAATACAATTAGGGTAAAAATAATTTGACAAATTGAATGAGGACAATATGAGACAATAGAGACAAAGAGTTATGGACGTCCGGGTACCTTTTTCTGGGCAGCACAAGCCTGAAAAGGGACCCCCATTAACAAAGGATTAACCCTTAAAAACAACAGCCTGTTGCATATTCATACACTTCATACATGATGCATAAATTCCATTCAAACACAGGATTCTGTCTAGTCATTGTCAATTTCTCCCTCTTAATCCTAACAGCGGCTTCGAGGTGGGAAAAAATTAGTTTCTTCTGATAAGAGGGCAATAAATTCTTTTTCTCTGAAAGATTTAGGTGTCCTGTGGCTGCCATCTCAGTGCGAGTCCTTTCTTAAAAAAAAAAAGTATCCTACGTAGCATAGTTTCTATTTTAACATTTTTTACAACCTAAAACTACATTTAACACGCTACTTAAGAGATTTAATACAGCATTACTTTCTAACACAACATATATAATATTCATTTTAATATTTGCGAAAAACCAATCATAAAACACATGCATTTTTCACATCTGCATGGGCAAGCAGGTGTTCAGCTATTCCAGGAGAGCAGGGCCCCATCACACGTTAGTTATCGGGACAACACACACCATCACTCCCGGCATCCCCCTCTCCGTCATTGTTGCCCCACTGTATATTCTGAGCACCGGAACACCGGGGAACCCGGGGGCACCGGGAATGCCGGGATCCCTGCGGGCAGGCCGCCC